GGGTGGAGAGAGAGAGAGATACCTATTTTCTTAAAAATTTTAAAAAGCTTGGGCTGAGAAGCCAGCAAAGCACAAGTTGGCCTTCTTCCTGGGGGGTGGGGGTGGAGGGGGCATGGTAGTATTTTCTGATCCAAGTGAACATGAATTTTGGTCTTGATAGTATCCATGGCCCATGAGATAGAGAGGTCAAACCCCGGGGTTTCTCATGGTGAGCAGTTTTCAGACTTTACTGGAATCCTAAAATACGATTTTCCAAAGGAGAATTGGCTTGCACAATGGTTAAACACTTGACATCTAGCCAAAAAGCTGGTGGCCAGGTCTTCCAAGTCTCTTGGCATAGATTAATGAGCATTTCCAGGATTGCATCTGTCCTAAATTAGCATATAATATACAAGGGCTATTTCCGGGCTTTGTTCTTTTGCTTGAATCATTTCTGTACCAATACTGTACAATATGAATTCATTCAACTTCATGTTTTGTTAAAGTCTACATTTAATAGAAATTTGTTACCCACTGTTGTGTATTTTACCTTCTAAGTGCATACTACTTTTTAGATTTTGCTTGAGCTATAATGAACTTTGGGAGGAATGGCTTTTAAATTATTGGAAATGTTCAAATACTCCTCAATTCATGACATGTCACTTACTTTTATGTTTCAGTAGTATTGCTTTCATCACAAATCTTATCCTTGTGTAATCTTCAAAGTCATCATGGTATTTTATTATTGTGAATATGTTTAAAGATGTTTTTGAAATAGCATTTTAACAATTGCTTATTGGTGTAGATGAAAGCTCCCCTGTTCGTTTAAACCAGAGCAGTGCCATCCTGATTTCAAGGATGCAAATCTGCCCACCCACCCCATACAGCAGCTGGTGGACTTAACTACTGACATCTTGATTAGTGGCCTGATGTATATTACCACTACACCCCCAGGCCTCTAGATTATGGATGTGACCAGTAAGAACTCATTTTGTATATTTGTCTTACAGAGTTTTATTCATTCATTCATTCAGTTGATTCATTTAAGTTTTTTCCTATAGATGGTTAAATCAGCTGAGAATTTGTTTTTTTTTCTGTTTTAGTATTAAATCTTATTCACAGGCGTGGTGAGCCTCATATTCTTTTTTTTTGTTGTTTCTTTACCAAGAAAGATGTTCTACTGGGTTTGTTATCTATTTTTGCTAGACGTTTTCTCATGAATATGTGCTAAAATTAATCCTTTGAAAAATTTATCAAATGATAGCTAGTACGTTTTTTTATTGGTTCTCTCCCTTTAAATCTAATGTAACCATAGGCACTGATTTTTGTTTTGTTTTTGGAACCGTATTTACTAACATTACATATAGTTTGTGACTTGGGTTTACTTTCACCATATAAAATACTATGGCTACTTGTTAGAAATAGTTTGTGTCATTTAAAACCAAACCCAACTCAACCCTTTGCCTTAATTCTGACTCCCGGAGGCCCGTCTCTGGGCCTTGGAGGCCATGCATCTTTCCAGGAGACTCCCCATCTGCCGCCTGCAGAGTGCCTGGTGGAGTCCAACCCCTGACTTTGTTAGCAGCTCCACATGTAACACTACTGTGCTACCTGGGACTCCTTTTAATGAATAATAATGTAACTGTAAAAAGGTAGTCTATGGAAGTCAGCAAGAAGTTTCATTATTGCCCTAAGTGTTTTTGGATATCCAGGGATGGGACATGGATCTAGGTTGTGCTTGTGTTTGTCATTAAGCTCTTAGAGAATCTTAAACAAGATAAACTTTTCAGTTTCAAACGGAAAAATCTATAAAATGGGAGAGAATGCAAGGCAATTAAGAATGTTAAAGCTGTGTTAAAGATGCATGATATAGACCTGTGCCAAATTTTAAGCATGTGAATAGTGTCTATAGCCATGTAAAGAAATTAAGGTACTTTTAAGATGCAATTATGATGCTAAAATATAACACACTGAATTCTCCAAAGGCACAAATATTGCATATTAGATTATTTATAAGGTACGAAAAGTAGCTGCTGAGACTGTTTTATGTACAGCTGAAAACCTCACGGGATATGGCTGGTTGATCTGAGAGTTTAGGGTCATGGTTTCCTGGGTCATTCCAGTTAAATGGTCTAATAACATATTTAGTGTCACTGTTCTCTTAGGCACTGTACCTAGGAATTAAAAGCATGCAAACTGGTCATCCAAGGCAGGACTGTTCCCTATCTGCCAGGAACGAAAGCCAAACAGGATGGATGTATTTGCTAATTGCTTCCATGAACAACTTCCTCCTTTGCCCTAAGACCAGTAGAAGTGGATAGAACCTGATGACCACTACTGAACATTTTCATCAAAGATTTCATAGAAGAATTCTGATTAAAAGAAAAAAAAAATGCAGAACAGAATTGAGTACTCTCATGGATGGCAGACTTGGTGGCAGGATGAACTATTGCCTTGAGATAAGCTTTAAACCAAAAAACCTGCCCTGAGGTCTTAAACAACAGCTTAGCTTAAAGAAAGAATAGATGCCTTAAGCATAAGGCTCTTTTAAGAATCTTATCAGCTTGACAACAGGACTCTAAAGAGGGACAGGGACAAGAGGAGGTAAAGAAATCATGTTAATGGAGGATGAATAACTTAGACATGGAGGGTGACAATGGCTGCAAAACTCGGAAGAATGTAACCAATATCACTAATTGGTAAATGCAGAAATGGCTGAGTTGGGGCATGTTTTCGCGGTGTATATTCTCAACAACAAGAAAATAAATTACATTAAAAAAATACCTCTAAAGCCATGTAAAACCCGAAGGCATTAAAATTTATTAAATGATGCAATAACAACAGGATTCTTTATTTACAATAGCATTATTTAACATCAAATAAGCAAATAGCATCAGCAAAGCAATATTAACTTGCATAAATGTATTTAAAATTTCTCTGAATATATCTACCTTTGCATAAACTGCTCACACTAGAAATACAAACATCAATGCAGGTGAACAAAGTGATGTTCAGAGTCAACTCCATTTTGAAAATAAATCACAACCTGAAACACTGTAAGCTTTCTCCTGAAGAACCATAGTTAATATATTGCTTAATTTTACCCTTGTATAATCTTTTCATATACACACATCTCAGATGCAACTTCATGAGGAACTGTACAAATAAAACCCACAAATGACAAAGGAAAAAAAAAGACAGTTAAATGCTTGAAGAAATGTAGCATTGTCACTGCTCAACAACATAAGGGTTAAATGATGATGCACTTATTCAAAAATTGTACACAATTCACTATACAAATATAATACATCGGACAGCTATGTAGGAATATACAAGACTTAAAAACAGATCTAAGGCATTATGCTAGATTTTAGCATTTTGAGGTTCTTGCACATAGCTTTTACCTGTAGTAAGAAACTTAAAAGATTTTGTTTTAGTCTATAAAGAAACACCAGGGAGAAAATTCTAATTAAAATCGAAGCCACTACAGTAATTTTCTTTTGTGCAGAGAATGCTTTGCTCTTAGGCAGCATACTACCATACAAATACTAGAAAATTTTAAATTCACACCAACAATTAATGGCTTAAGTTGCATTTCAAAATTGATTGTGTATCTTTGGGTTCTGCAAGTGGATCTGTGCCACCCATTTCATGTGTTTAAGCCCATATGAACTCCATTTTTAAACGCAGGTTAAAAATTGCATTATATAAACTGCAAAAACATTGCTTTCAATTATTACAGGCCTTAAAGAGATACACAGGGGGGATGGGAGGCATTTTAGTCTTTGAATCAAACGAATTCATTGTAGTAAAACAGCTCACTTCACTTTTAAACTTACCACATTACATGAACACTTAAATGAGTTTTACAACCAAGTTAATGTATGTATACTTTCACATTATGCGTTTTTCACATTTAGTAATATAAGTAAAACACTGATTATTTGTCTATTAAACAAAAACCAAGTACTCAGTCTAACAAATTTATTGTGTACAGCATGAGAAATACTGATAATGAAGGGAATTGATTTGGCTTTTGCTTCTACAGTGATCAATATGATCAGAGAATTCCTTCACTTACTTTTCTTCTCCTAATTGGATGTAAAGCAAAACCCATTACCTGATCTGAGCCATAAGGGAGCCTATAATCGCTTTTCCTTCACAACAGTAATGATCAGGTCTGGAGATCTGTTTGAATTGGGGTTGATGGTGAAACATGGATGGATAAACAACAGATATTTTGGGACAGTGTTAAAAGAGAAAAGGGACTTAAAACTCAAGACAAAACAAAACCAGCTTAAACTCCATTGCTCTTTTGTGCTATTGTAAAGTCTTTTAAATTAACTGATTTCTGAAAAAAAATTTAAATCTGGTCAGGTTAAACTGTGTGTGATCCAAGTCTCATTATACCAGTGAGGTCATGGAGTTCCGGGCCAACATCTGCTCGTTTTTTTCCATCACAGTCAGGCAACCCAATGGTTTGGCTGAGAAAGTAGAGCCGTTTGAGTGGGACGTATGAACTGGTGGCCTCTAAGAAGTGCTGTTCCTTGGCCACCTCCCTGTATTGAGATCCCTCTCAAGTGGGAAAAATATCGAAATGCAAATTTCCAGAAAATGTCTTTAGTATGGAGCAACACTTTCAGACTGTCTATTCATCACTTATCTTTGGGTTATATCTCTTTCTATACTTCCATAATCTGTATGTATAGGGAGAGATATAGATATAAATAGGGGTAGTTTGTACATTTTTCACCCTGCCACGAAACAAACAAACAAACAAACAAACAAACAAATTTCAAGGAAAAACCTCTCTGTTCCTAAAAAGCCTGGCTAATGAGATATTATAAAATGCTTTGCTTTTAGACATCAAAAAGACATCATTTGGAAATTTAGGTAAGAAAGTATGTGTATTAGTGGTTGGGGAGAAATAGCTCAAAAAAGGTCATCAGCTTCTTAGTATTGCAGTTGTCAGAAACTGATGCCAATTCATAAAAGATTATTCCCCTACCAGAGTGGGCAAGAAAAACAACCAGAAAAGTGACCTGCTGAGTAACATGTAGTCTTTCTAAGGTTCATTAAGAAAGAATATAAACATATAAAAATCAAGAATTGGTTCCTACAGCGGCTGCATATCATATAGATTAATGATTTATGAGCAGAATCACGAGGTTTAGAAAATAAAAAGTCTTAAGTCTACAAATTAGGTCTAATCAAGGCATTGAGATCCTTTACAAAACATCTTTAGGAGACATTGCTATGAAGATATCTAATTTAATACTGAAGTACCTCATTTTTTTAGTCAATTCCACAATATGTATACCTCACAAAAATTATACAATTAAAACACTTAAGTTCTCAACTTAAATTATTGCTTGTTTACATATAAATTGGATTTTATGTACCTTACAAAACTTCGGCTTAGCACTGCTAAAAAACAAAATAAAAAACACATGATGATGGTCAAATCTGTAGTGATATCTGCTGTAAATTTTAAACACACTAGTATTTTCTCCCGTTTTGTAGGCCAGAGTTGCTTGGGGAACAGAATAAATATGTTTCCAGAGCAGGTATCCTTAGCTTGATCAGTATCAAGTCCTAACTTTGCTCTTCTCCGTGCAGTAAATGCATTTTTCCGAAACGCAATAGTTAACAAACTGATAAGTGGCTAGCAAAACATTTAAGGAAATAAAGGGCTTACCTGGTTTCTGTACACATATTACTTTACAACAGTGAATGAAAGTGGAGAGAAATGAGGAAGCCAGAGATGTGGAAAGTTAAGAAGTAGCCTGGCTAGCTGGGGAAAGGGAGATGCTGTTTTGTGTGAAACAATTTAATGGCCACATAATTTGGATGAAAAATGTTTCTTCTTGATTCACGGGTTAGGTGAACTAGTTTGGCTTTCTTTGAAGAAGAAAAAAGGAAACAATAGTTGTTAACAGTAACAGCCCTAACAGACTCCTTTTCATTTGTTCAATAACTGGAAATGCTTTCTATTCTTTAAAGAGCTTTCTATGAAGACAATATGTGACTTTACTGGTCTCCATTTACTGGGTACTTGAGTCCTTGGGCACTGTCTGTGGTGCCTGCTCTGCCTTTATCCAAACTAAATGCAGGCGTTCTCTTAAAACACTTGAAGATTTTAATTTTTAAATTTTTCCCCCTTCCCAGATAAAATCTTACTCTCTTGTACTTGAATGAATAGCCAGAGAAAACAAAGCAAGAAACCAGTGTCTGGAAGCAAAGAGGAAGAGAACAAGAACATGGGTGTTTTCCTTAAATACATACATACATTCAATCTGACATGGGTATGAAATTTGCCTGTCAACATTTACTTTGCAGGAGAGATCTAAGTTGCACTAAGGTGAATGCAGTGAACAGACTGAGCAACTGTCTGGACGTGAGCTTCAGACTGTCAAGAGAAGAGGCAGCTTCTCCCGCACAGCGGCGAGTACTCCGAGCTGGCGCAGAGCTGAGGCCTGGCTTCGGACCGCGCTCTGGCAGAACTGGCTGGCAGGTCAGTGGGTCAGAACAAGTGGATGCAGCTCTCCAGACTGCTAAGTGTTTTGAGTAAGTGAGCCCAGTCAGCTGAAGAAAAGAGGCAACCAGCTACCTTCGGTGTCAGCAGTATTTCTGCAGGAAAATGGAAAGAAACACATGAGCCACCCGAAATCATAAAATCATCCTAAAGCCCTTCCCCAAAACATCAAAATACTGGACTGTTTTAATTGATGCAATTAATGAGGCTTAGCAGGAATGAGTTTTATTTGCTTTTGATGCAGACAGACAGCGACAATTCTAAACATAAACATTTCCAAGAGGATAGGAGGACGTACGAAGATCACTCATGATTTTTCTCTCAGGACCCAGACAAGGACGTGCCTCAGCCATGAATGCAAGTTTAGTCTTTTCTGTTGAGCAGCTGCCGCTTACCTGCTAGCGACCTGCCCAGATGAACAACATTGAGAATTTCTCTATTTAGATGCAGAATTCTAACAAATTAGAGTCATCAGAGAGGCCAAGGAACTCTGATCGTGTCTTCTCTGGAGGCTCAAATCTACTAACTGCACCTTGGGAGATGGGCAATTTCATTCCAAGCAATTTACAGCTTCAGAAAAGATACTGGGAGGGCCAATTATGAGTCAGTTCCAACTTGCTCGCAATGAACTGAGTTGGGTTGTGTAGGAAGATTAAATCTACTGCTGTCAAGGTGGCTCTAACTCACGGAGTGCGTCACCTGGGTTTATGAGCTGTACAACTTTCTGGCAAGAGAGTGCTGATTTTTCTCCCATGGAGTGGCCCACAGAGCCAGAACACTGTACTTTCTTTGGGTTAATAGTAGCCCATTAGGGTCTGTGTTATGCCATAAGGGCCCCTGGAAGGGACAGTCTCCAAATAATCTGCCGGTTTTACAAAGTTCTGGGGAAACTATAGCCAGATCATGAATTCCAGTGGGGAAACAAGTATGACATTAATGCTTGTTCAGGGACATAATACTCCTAAGTGTAAAAAAGAAAACTTAGGAGAACATCTGTGATCATTCTTTCTTTTTTTTTTTTTTAATTTTATTTTACTACTTTTTGTGTGTACCATCAAATCAGATCTGGCTGGTACAGGAGGAGATTGTCCATCCTTCTCCAGCAAAGCATTTGGTGGATATGAACTGGATTATTATTTCTTTCTAGAGAACAGTAGCAAATACGCCTTTCTCTAAAATACAGAGTTGAATAACATATATTGTCCTAGGTTGTGTTAATATGAAGGGTTTATTATGGCAGTACTCCCAGTTCCTTCTGAAATGTGTAAACTGCCCCTCCTCCTAATCCCAGTTATTCCAGGAAGGATTTCTTTCCTGGTCAGGCTTATGAGCCTTTGTGACAGCATTCCTTTGCATAGGCTGACATCAAGAGGTGGGGACTAGCCAGCATCAGGCTGGTAAGACTGAAACCCGACTGCTTGGGAGGGACACTGCCCGGAGATACTGACATCCCAGCTGTGACATGCGGGGGTCACGAACTATTCTGCACCTAATACTATTCCTTGGGGCTGTTGTGAAGATTAAATGACATGATGCCTATAGAGTGTGTAAACAGTTCCTGAGTTATAGTAAACCCACTGTGGTCGAGTCAGAACCAACTCATAGCTGACCCTTCTAGGGCAGCGGAAGAGACTGCCCATCTTTCTCTCTTGGAACCTCAGGCAGATTAAACTGCCAGAAAGGTGTGGCCTTTGCAAATCTCCACCTACCGCACCACCCACATTCCTTCACCAATATTACATCATTATCATAATTAACAAAAAGAAGAAAGAAAATGAAAAAAAAAAAAAAAAGAACGAAAATATGACATAATACATGTATGCAAAACAGAAAAGAATATTTTAAGAAATTCTTACAAAAATGAAAACTCCTTGGGTAAGTAAAATAACTGGCCTTCTCATAAATAATATTTTTGGCACAATCTATAGTTACGTATACTAGCTCTACTTAAATCAAGGTATAACCATAGCCTCTAGATAAACAGGTCAGAAAATCAATTAATAATGACGGATCACATTATTTCTTTTTTTTGATCACAGTATTTCTAGTCTAAAAACGGGTACCAGATTACCAATTAAAACTCTGAAAGAAGTTCCAGCAGCATACTTATTACAGAAATGGAATTACTGTGGATTATTGAAGCCCTGTCTATTCAAACATTGGTCGAATGGTTACAACTGCAATCTAATTTCTAAATCTAATAGAAATTGGTCTTCGCAATCACTTGTTATGCATCAGAGAGTTGGACAATGATCAAGGAGGACAGAAGGAGAATTGATGCCTTTGAGCTATGGTGCTGGAGAAGAGTATTGAGAATACCATGGACTGCTAGGAAAACAAACAGATTTGTCCTGGAAAGGGTTAAACCGGATGGCTCCTTGGAGGCAAGGATTCTGAGGCTCCGTCTAACATACTTTGGACAGGCTGTGAGGAGAGACCGGTCCTTGGAGAAGGACATCATGCTTGGGAGGGTGAAGGGACAGCGCAGGAAAGGCCCTCTATGAGGTGGACTGATACAGTGACTGGGATAATCGGGATGGGAGTGTCAGAGACAGTGTGATTGGCACAGGACAGAGCAGAGTTTAGGGCGGTTGTACATAGGGTCGCTATGAGTAGCAAGCGACTCGACGGCACATAACAACAACAACAACATCTAGGACAATGATTAAAGAATATTTTATATATATTTTATATTTGTCCTTCGGTGACTGCATAACATCCCTCAGATTCACTCACATAATACAGTGTTTCCCAAATTCTTCATTATTCTTTCACACTGCATAGTGTTTCACTATATATAAGTATTGTGTTTGTTTATTCATTCACCCACCAATGAACACCTGGGTAATTTCCACTGTTTTTGTAAAACAGGCAAAACATTGGACCATAGAGTAATCTGCTTTATAGTAGGTAAGTTTTTTCATCTCAAAGGCTCATTGCTGTTGTTGTGTACTGTAGAGTCAGAATCAACCTAGAGCTGACCCTCTGGTGGGTTTTAAGAGGCAGTTATTAGCATGGGAGGAGACTGTCCTTCTCCCATGGAGCAGCCAGTGGGATTCAAATCACGTGCCTTCAGTATTGCAGTAAACCTCCTCACCACGAGGCCACCAGACAAAGGCTCACAGGAGAGAAAAAAAAAAAGACACAAGCAAGTTGACTCCCGCCGATCCTGGCAGGACCAGGAGGCTGTCCGGCTGGCCTGGCCCAGGCAGGGATTCTGAGAGGGACTCCTTCAGAGGTCTATTTCAGGAACCTGTGCTGTGGAGTACAGGCCAAGGCTGGTACAGTGATGGCCCCGAGAACTAGGGGACAGATGTCATCTTGGTGGACTAAAAGGAGGGTAATTTGATTGATGTTGAGTGACACAAGGGAGTCTTGATAGGGAGTTGCACTGCCAACGAAGGATGGGGAATGATGGGCCATCTCCTCCCCTATCATTTATTGCTTTGGAAACCTGCTGAAGGGTCAGCTGTGAGCTAATGCTGACTTGACAACATGAGTTTTGACTTACTGAAAGGTTAGCCATGGGAATCTCTATGTACTTTGTAAGGATGCTAGTCAAGAACATTCTATGGGACATAGTCAGACTTGGGGTGCAGGAACTAGACTAGACATGTTAGCTTAGTTTGACTGTTTTATACTTGTTTAATGTAATTCTAGCCTCCCAAATGTATTGTTATAAATTTTTTTTCCAGTGATACCAATTGCTCAGGCAAGCTCTCTGGTATGTCTGGGTTAAAATGGTTTCCCCCAGGATAACTGGCCATGAGAAGTACAGTCTGAGAAGTACAACCTAGGTTTCACGGTTCTCGTTTTTGCACAGAACCCATCACTTAAGTGGCTGCTCTCTGAGAAAAGGACAGGCAGCAGAGATTCCAACCCTCAGGGAGTATTTCATGATGGAGACATGGGGACATTTCAAATCCCAATCAGTGGCATATCCAGAGAACAAACACAACCAATGAAAAACAGATCTCATTTTCTGTTTGGCATATCTGCTGCTGTAAAGACTCTTTCAAGTCACAGTGACCCTACAACTTTGAAAACTCCATGACGGCAATTCTCCACTGTCTTACCAGATCACTCTGAGTATTATTTAGCCATAAAAGAAGAAATAAAGTTTAGATATATGCTAAAACATGAACGAACCTTAAATGAGTCAGAAAAAAAGGAAACATCATTGTGTGATCTTTATATGAAATACTGTCGAGAACTTTTGTTCATAGGGCCGCTATGAGTCGCCTATGACTTGACAGCACTTAACAACAACAACCACCCAGAATACACAAAGAAATCGACCAAAGTTCATTTGGCTTTACCTGGGACAGGTGGGAGGGGAAAAGGTAAAGAATCGCTTAAGCAATATAGAACTTTCGTTAAGAACGATGAAAAATTTGGGAAGAATAGTAGCTAACTGTAGACAGCATGAAGGATGTCAATAAACAGGGCATGCAAGGATGGCTGAAATGTTTTGTTGTTTATATATATTTCATAATAAAAACAAGAAAGAAAGGAGAGAGAATACACTAACTAGTCATAGGGATTATGTCCCTTATCACAGCAGCCCACTTAACCTGGCTGCGTGCGAAATTGTTCACACTGCAGTTCCTGTAATAATTCTGTGCTGGCCACACAACTGTTCTATTGCTCAAGATCTGGTTGAACATCACATTGCTTTACTTAGAGTAAGTGCTCCAAGTAATAAGTAATACAAGATGCAAGATTGTTACCTACACACAATGAAATTTAGAAAAAGAGAATAGACTTAAGAAATAATTCTTCACATGCAACCATTTTATGCTAGATGAAATTAGAAGATATTTGAAGACCCTCAGTTATTAAAACTAACTTATTGGTTGACAATCTGGCAATGTCAGTTTTGGTCTACAAAAAAGTCATGGTTCACACTTCTTCCATATGCAGGTATTTCTTTGTTCTCTCTTACCCGTGATGCATCTCCCTCTTGCTTAATCATCTCCATTCCAGGCAGCTGGTTTGGGAACAGGTTGCCTCCCCTCAGAGCAGGATCGTTAACCTGGGGGAAGAAGACAGGACAGGGGACCCGTTCAGCCAATGTCCAAAAGTGTACTAGAAAACAAGGGACCATTAGTTTTCCTTTTGGTTTTTAGACATATTTTGAGAGTAGGGACTATATAAAGACAGCTTCATGACTGTCAGAGATCTGATCCATATCTTCTTGAGAAGAATGGAAAAATAGGGAAAAAAATTTTTTTCCATTCAAAAACTGTAATTTATTCCTATTTAAAATAACCTATAAAGGGACTCTGAAAGGCCCAAAGACATCCATGTTTACCACAAGATTATGGCCAGGTGCTGCCTCTTCCTGGCCCATCCTGTACCACTCAATCTAAGTATTTGTAGACTCAGAGTAGATTGTAAGCTTTGGTGTTTCTTCTCTTTCAAAGTGATGGAGTCCCACAACTTCAGTGTCCATGCACAATAGAAAACTAGTGTGTTATTTAAGGCAACTAAAACATTCCCAGGAGTCATTATTAATATTCCCACAATGGAAAACTGGACTTAATCTCCCCAACAAGGTGCCTGGATGATCAGCTGGAGTGAGTATTACCTGACATTAAATGGCTGACCTTCCACAACACAAAGAGCCAAGCACCCTTGGAGGAAATCTTGGAAATATTTTTATTCATGTGAGTCATGTGTTCACTTTTTGGCTGGTTCAAAATTAAACCAATGACTTGCATTTAGGATTATGAAATTGTGAGAGCTTCTGGTATCTTAGCGACTTCAGCAAATGAGTGTATATATCTCAGTCATGCATCTTGTGAATCTGAGCAAGTGTATCATTTGTTAGCATTGATATAATTCTTTACAAACCTTTTTTTTTTTAGAAAATACACATTACACTGCAAATGTGTTTTTTAGGGCTTTTAAACCAACTCTGTTATTAAAAGTGGTTGAAATACGTGCCAAAGTTTTAAACCAATCTGTATCATTAAAGAGTCACCAAATTCTACGTGGGTAAGTTGCTGATGGTAGGAGGTGACGTGGAGTTAACCATGACCCATAGTGACTCTTAGGACCAGCAGACTGAAATCCGGCCCTGTCCTGTTTCACCCTCACAACCTCCACCATGTTCAAGCTCATTATTGCAGTCACTACGTCAATCCATCTCACTGAGGCTTTTCCCACTTTTTGCTCTTTATTTTTCTAAGATTGATGTCTCTTCCAAGGACTGGTGCTTCTTGTTATCAGTGCCAGTGTTTGTGAGACAGTTTAACCAGCCCTGCAACTAAAAATGCAATGGCATGGATCAAGTACACCTTAGTATTTAAATTGACACCCTTGCTCTGTAATACTTTAAAGAAGTCTTTGACAGCAGATTTCCCTAGTGCAACACATCTTTTGATTTGACTGATGCTACTTTGGGTCCTGACTGTTGATCCAAGAAAGATGAAATCGTTGACAACGTCAAGCTTTGCTCTATCATAGAGAACCCAGCTTCTAGAATTATTTGCTCAGAATGCATACTGAATAGGTATTGTTGGTTTAGGCCAGATTTAAGAACGATTACTGTTTCTCAAGTCAACTCAGCTCATTGCCATGGAGATAGAACTGACTCACCGCTGACTCTCCAGTAGGTTTTCAGAGGTTAATTACACTGGTGGACAACTGCCTATCATTTTCCCTTGGAGCTGATAGTGAACATAAACTACCTGCCTTTAGGTTGGCAGAACAATTCCTCAACACCAAGGCCACCAGAGCTCCCTATTATCTCAAATGTTCTGAGTTTCTGCCAGCTAATGAGGCGGGTGAATCATTTCAGTGCTATTTAATACAAAACAGAATTATTTAAAAAGACTGATCAAAACATGATGATATCCATATTACAAAGAAAAAAAAAAAGAATGTGTTTTGCATTATCTCCATCAATTTTCCCAGAAAAGTTTAAATGATTCAGACAGCAAGTAACTTGACATTTGCTTTTCATCTGGTTTTGCATTTAGGGTGAAAAAAAAATCAATTCTTAAAACTGTAAATTTAAAGTAGCATTTTAAAAGACCCTTGAGCAATCAGGAATCCTTTCAAGTATACTGCGTCATTAACAAGTATTTCTATTAATCTCACCAGCACAGGTTAAAATAAGTTGAAAAAACACTCTTTAAAATAAACTGGGAATTGACAGCAGATGTTAAGTAAATGGAAAGATTCATTTAACACAGAAACTGACACCAAGGCGGGCCGCTTACCTGCTCGGGACCCATGGAGGACAGCCCTGATGTAGGCACAGAGGTCACTGAGGTCATGCTGATCTGTCCTGTCATCTGGTTCATGTTGTTCAGACCACTTGAATTGGTCGCCAAGGATACATTGATGTTCATGTTGTTATTGTACATGCTGGTGTTTGCTTGCTGCCCAAAGTGTGGTGGGGACTGCTGGGAAAACATGCTGGAACACAAAAGGAGAAAAGCATGAGCACCAAGGCAGAAAGAGCCTGGCTTTAGGGTGAGGACTGTTTTTCAGGCATTTCCCACAGAATGAAGAAACAAAAGTCGAATAACCCTGGGGTCCAACAGTTAGCAGACTCTGAGACAGGGCACCTCTGAAGCAGTAGGGAAGTGCTTGCTACAGCTGTAGCGACAACCTAGTTCTTCTCTTCTCTCCTGTATCACCTCTGTCAAGGTCTAGAATCCTACATACACTACTTCCATGCCTACCTTTGACAGGCTTATTACTTCTGAATTTTATCACATGTACAATAGGAGATGGTTTCTAGGTTGGTAAATTCCACAGTAGCTTCTGTCATAATATGGGCTGAGTGGTAACTCTTAGGTACCAGTTTTACTCCCAGTGAAAAGGTGCTCTACCAAATGGCTTCTGTTTTTATTAAGCTATGTAAATATTGGTGACTTCTGGCCTAGGAATGGAGTTAAATTGGCTTATTGACCATTTTATTGACTACATCATTAAGCACACAAGAAAACTTTAGAAAAGAGGCAGGTGGTTCATACAAAGAATACCTACTAATAATTTATAGAACAAATACAACAAAATGCTGAGTTACCTGTTTCCACCCATACTGCCCTGCGCCCACCCATTCATGTCTGAGGAGGCCTGATAGGCTGGGTTAGCCGCAGACTGCTGCATCATGGGACTCTGGGTATGCGCCATTCTGGGTGACATCAGAGGACTCTGGGGAGTGGTAGCCCCAGTGAAACCTGCCTCAGGTTGCTGACTTATTCCTTAAAAAAAAGAAACAAACAAAAATTCAAAGACTATTGTTAGCTTTACTAAAGAGAACGAGGAGGAAACAGCACATTTTAATTTCAAATTAGATACACGTATAAACACTTTCAACTACTTGATCATATACTTTATCCATACATTTTCAAAAGACTCCAAGCTTCAACACATACACAAAGAAAAGAAACCCAATGCCCCATCCTTATTCTCTACAGGAGTGAGAGGAGTTAATGGAGGACTGAGAGTAACTATCATCACCGGAGTTACTCTTGTGATGCTCCTCTTTTCGCTATTATAAACTATCCATTGTTGCTGAGTCAATTCTGACTCCTAGAGAACCAAAGGACAGAGGAGAACTGCCCCACAGAGGTTCCACAGTCATGAACTCCTGCAAGGGCACAGGTGCATTGAGATGGCTGACTTCCCATCTACAGTGGAATGCTTAACCACTGCACCACCAAGATAATTTCTCCTTCCTATATCCCTCCACAAACCAAAAATGGGTCTCATATAGATATATACGTAATTTCGATATAACTATACATATTATTTTAAATTATTAAAGTTAAATTATATACAAAGTCAATATATTTAAATATTTTTTCATTAAATAACTCCAGTGAAACTCCTTACAGACTACACTACCAGAGGTCCCTTTTATTTTGAGATAAGCGAGATACACTTTTAATTTGGATTAGTCTACTTTGTAAAGGGCTCTTTAGTACTATCCAAGATCAGCAAGAATAAGGAAGAAAATTCAGTGTATATCAAATGGCATTTACTTCAAAATGAGAGAAGTACTTTCACCAGGAAAGGTGCTAAAAATCTAGTAGGTAACTTCTTAGAAAATTTCAAGAATGACATTAATTAAGCACATTTTTGTCTAGAACATGATTAAAACATGCATATTTAATTAATTTCTAAGTTAACTATAAAGAAAATACAAATTTGCAATCACACAGAAAGTTTTAATTATCTTTATTTCTTTAAAGACCTAAGAGTCTTGAATTGAGTTAGCAAGACGACATCAAAGTTACTTAGATACTTCAAGCATAAGGCAGAGAATAATCTTGAATATTAATATAAGTACTTTTATCAATAAGTCAATTATTAACTGAACAAAACATGCACTACAGATATTAAAGTTTATAACAGTTAGAGTTAGCTCTCTTAAGACTGACACTTAAACAAATCAATATTAAGAAAATGAAGAGGTCTGCTAATGTAGCTTATATATAGCACTTTTAAAGAATCTACTCAATAAAAATTTGTCATAATCTTTAAAGATTTTTTAAAATTCAGTAAAGACCTATAATTTTCAAATTTCTGTGTGTCTTTCAATATGTATATACTTATTGATTTGTTACAGTCAGACTCAGAGGCTTCAGAATATAAACAAATATACATATGCTTGTGTTAAAAGAAACTGACAAACATAAACTCATACACACTCACACACTCGACAGATACACTACACACTCACACACACACACTTACTTCGGTCACTCTTAAAGTAAGACCTGCACTCAGAGAAAAGGTGGTACCTGAGCTGAGAGACGGGAAGGTACTGTGCTGGACTTGGGGACTCCTGACAGGCCCCAACTGTCCTCCCAGGTTTCCTATCATCCCCTGGGTAGCCAGAGTCATCTGGGAGCCATGCAAAGAGCTGTGAGAGAGGAGCTGTGACCCAGGACTGGGGGAGTCTGGGGAGAAAGGACTGGTGAAAGGTGGTGGGGATGTAAGTCCAGTACCGTAGTTTGGAGGAAATGGAAACTGTTGTGCATTTGCCTGGGGAATCCGGGGGTTGCTCATAGTTGCTGGTATCCCACCAGAAGCCACCATGCTTGGTGTCATATTCAACCCTTGTCCTCTCATCATCAAAGTTCGTTGCTGAACTTGCTGTTGCTGATGGATTTGTCTTTGTCGAAGATGCTGGTTCAGGATTTCCCTCTGTCTCTGGGCCAGCATCTGTGCATTAATGGGTCCCTGAAATTGGAGCAAGACATGGTGAAAACACCGAAAGTAGACACCGATTTAAAAACAAATTATATAGACTAACCAGTGGTTCTGTCTGAAGGAGGAAAAATTGGGTAATTATGTATGGAAAGAGTTCTAGAGCTGAATAAATGGTTGTTAATATATGAGCTTCTTGAGTTCTACATTAATGATATGCTTATTGAGAAATACCCTGTTATGGTTTACAAGGTTAAGTTTAATGTTAGTATCAGTTAACTTGGGACACAGTTACCTCAAGAACTTCTAAGTAGCACTACCCTTATTAAGAGTCAAATAAGTACTTAGAGTGTCAATCAAGGGACAGGCAGGCCCTAAAGGGAAACATCACAGATGACTGTGTCCAAGGTGTTATGCAGAACTTCAGTCCAGGCTGGCCAGAGTCAGAAAAAAGGAGGCAGAAGCGAGATGGTGTTAAGGACCTAGTAAGAGGTTCTGACACACTGAATGAGGGGAGGAGGAAAATAGGAGGGAGGGGAGGGGAGGAAGAGGGGGTGCAATGCTTATAGTCAATAGGAGGCACAAGGTTGTTAATGGTACCTAACAACCTGCACTGAGGAACCTTTCCAAAGTATTGAAGAGTTGTGATGTCAGTTTGAAGACTAAGGTGCATCTTATTTAGGCCATAGTCATTCTGATTACTAGTCATGCATCTGAGAAGTGGACAACGAATAAGGATGACAGAAAAAGAACTGACACCTTTGAGCCATGGTGCTGGAGAAGAGCACTGAACATCCCACAGGCAGACAACCAAGAGAATGAAGAGACATGTCTTAAAGAGGGTGCAGCCGGAGTGCTCTTTGGAGGCAAGAATGATGAGCCTTCACATACTTTGGACATGTTGCTAGGAGGGACTATTCCTTGGAGAAGGACATGATGTTGGGAAAGGTGGGGCGCTGGCGAAGGAGAAGACCTTCAATCAGGTGGATTGATATGGTGACTGCTGCAATGGGCTTTTGTATGTCAGGAAGTATGAAGATGTCCCAGGATAGGATTGGCTTCAGATCTTTTGTTCATAGAGTTGTTACGAGTTGTGCTTGATTTGGCGGCAGCACCCAACAAGAACAACAACAACAACAACACATAGCCCCTCTTTATTTACAGATTCTGTGTGCCAATTTGCCTAATTAGTAAAATTTATTTGTGATTTCCACAAACCAATACTCATGACATTTCACAGCCACTTTTGGGACATTTTCTGAGGGCAAAGCAAGAAAGAGAGAAGGTTAAATTCTTCCACTTGACATCTATGAGGTTATCTCATTCCACTAACAACAGCAAAGTTCAACAGAGCAGCAAACAACAAATGCTGGCAAGGTTGTGGAGAAACTGGAACCCTTATTCACTGTTGGTGGGAGTGTAAAATGGTGTAATCACTATGGGAGACAGTATGGTTCTTTCTTAAAAAGTTGGAAATAGAAATATCATTTGATCCAGCAATTGTACTACTGGAAATATACCCTAAAGAAACCAGAACTGCCACCAAAGCAGATGTATGTACACCTAGGCTAATTGCTGTGCTATTCCAAATAGCAAAAAGATGGAAGCAACCCAAGTGCCCATCAACAAATAAATGACTAAAGCAGCTGTAGTATGTATGTATGTATGTATGTATATGTGTGTGTGTATATATATTTATTTATTCACATAGTGGAATACTATGCAGCACTGAAAAACAAGGAATTAATAAAATATTATACAAAATGGGTGATAGTAAAGGACATTATGCTGAGTGAAATATCTCGTCACAAAAGGACAAATACTATATAATGCCACTGTTATAAAACGGGACTGACATGGGGATTGGGGGAAACTAAGAAAAGAGGGGATAAATAGTGAACACTGCATTGAAACAGATGAAGGAAAGAACTATTTAAAAGGAATATATGATTAGGTATTATTTGCAAGAAAAACATCCAGAATAAGAGGTGTATAGCAGTGTGGACTGGGCGGTGGGGAAGGGAGGGAAATGTGCAATGATGAAGGAATGGAAATTCAAGTTTTCTGTAAACTTTCGCTCAAGTATTAATAAAAAATAAAAATTTTGAAAAGAAATTCTTCTACTTGACTTTGTTCAGAGAATTCATCTTAGAGTTTGTCTTCCTCTAAACTTGGCAATGCACTTAAAATCCTTTTGAAGGCTGAGTAAGCCTCTTGCTATTTTACAACCCAGGCAAGTTTCCCCAAGGACCTGGAAGCCATCTCTCTGGGAGTACCCAGTGAAGGAAGACAGTGTCTATGACTCCTAGTTTTGCAGGAGGATATGGGTCCAACTTCATCTGGCATCTGGCTCCACACTGCAAAACATCATAAAGATGTTTTCTTTGGTAAAAGCAACTGGCAAACACAGGTGGCTATTCCAATTACCAGGTGAATTTAGGATGAACTACGTATGACAAAAGGTGCTGTGAAGTCCTCTTACTTGAAGACAAGTTGTTATTTTTCTTAAGAACATGTATGAAAGGGGTGGCCTTAGCTTGTCAAAAGAAAAAACTTTTTATATTTGCAACTCGTTTAGCTATGATTCCTATCATACCCAGTCTTAAAGCTTATTTAGTAATAAAACGGTTTTCCTTCTCTTTTCTGTTAGAGAGTTTGTTTGGGTTGGCAGGAGACTTCAGCTTTAAATTGTGCTTCCCTAACAATGGTGAAAAATTTAGTTGTCTCAGGGGGCTTTGGTGGCCTAGTGGCAAGAAGCTGCACTGCAATTCTAGAGGTACGGGGTTTGAATCCACCAGATCTTCTGCTGGAGGAGGGACAATCTCCTTCTGTACCAGTCAGATCCGATTTGACGGTACACAAAAAATAATAAAATTTAAAAAAGAAAAGAAGAAAAACTGAGTTGTCTCATGGTGCATGTTTCAATCTAATAAAGAAAGCAATACTCTGCCTCCTTGCTTCAGCTTTCATACTGTAAACAAGCATCCTTTTCATGATGCATTTAGGGTACATGTCCCACATTTCTGTGCTTTTTTTGTCGGTGATTTTCCTTAGTGTTCCCATGCTCAAGGTGGCTGTGACGTGCTTACGGAAATAAGCTTTGTTCAGGTATGAGTTATGGTGCTGGTAGCTACGAGTTCAGTCTTAATGAATCAAGAATAAATTCAATAACGTGCCCACACAGAAACACACTTTAAACAAGGTTATTCATTGATCAGTGGCAAGAAAGAGGTCCAGAGGAACCTACCCTGTATTTCCTCTAGAGCTAGAGTTCAGTATTTGCTAACTCAATGTTTGCGACATTACAGAACTATGGTGAACAACAATGATGGACTATACCTGACAATAAATGGCAACATTTAGGATCAAGTGACCAAGTGACAAGCTACATGGGTAACCAAGTGACATTATAGACTGAGTGCATTGACCCATATTTTGAGGCTTACTATTAAACCCAGAATGTGGAAAAGGAAGAAACGGACAGGTAAGTTAAGTGGATACAATAAAGAAACAGAACTTGAAAGCTGAGGCTGCCCAGAGGTCAGGTCTCTTACCTGTGTTGGTACTCCAGGCCTCAGAGTCAAATTCACATTTGAAACATTGTTGATTTGATTCATAATTGGCTGGCGATTCTAAATACATAAACAGGAATCAATACTTTTTACTAACAAGTTTTATTTCAAATGATCCTTCCCAAGTAACTGCCTCCCTAACCCCCTCTCTGCATGCTACTGGATATGAAATGCATATGTGGTAGCTGAATTCCTTTTTAAAGTCAGTCATCAGCTTGTAAGTGAGAAGTTATTTTGGACTATTTGGAAAACAGAGAGCAAGTGTAAAAGGGAGAGAAATTATCAGCAAAGGAAGCCAAGGGGAAGACAGAAAAGGCACTACCAGAACTTGGGAGTAAAAGGACAGCTGTTCTGCGCTGGAACGCCGGAGTGGAGAATAGAGGAAGAAGTGTGAAAGGGCTCACCCAAGGAAAAGTCTTTCCCCTCCAAACGGCGGAAGGAGACAGCCCGACCACACTGCATTGACTGTAGTGTCTTATCGCGCTACCCTCACTCTATCCAGCCCCAGCCACCAAACACCTGCCTTTCCAGAAGGCTCAGATCAAAGACTCTACCTGCTGTGCTTGGAGGCGATGCTGGAGCTGAAGTCTCAGTTGGTTTGGCTGGTTCTGCACGAGGCCTGTGGGCCGGAGGCCTGGTCTAGGCTGCATTCGGAGTGTGGCATAGCTAGGTCGTTGTCCCATGGTGTGGAAGTTCGGATCTTGCATCGGGGAATAGCTCCCTTGGGCCATCTGTGCCTGCGATGCATACTGCTGTGGGAAAACGGGGGCCTTCTGCTCCATTACGATGCTCGAATCCTGACTTGAGAACTGCTCTGGATCCACTGCTTGGCTCTGAAGAGAAGATCCCAAAGACTAAATAAACAAAACTACTCAAAGCAGCAATGTAAACATCAGGAACAGTATTTGTAGCTGGTAGTATATTACTTAAAGTCACTTTTAGGTTGGTCTTATTTTTATTTGTAGAAAATCTGATTAACAGAGCCAATTGTACAAGGAAGGTAGTCGGGTGGAGCCTGACTTGCAATGACGGGAGAGAAATGCATCATCAATATGTAAAGCCTTCAAGTCAATCCACTAATCATAGCCTTACCTAGTCTTTAAAATTACAAACTGTAGTAGTGTTTTTTGAGTAGTAGTACCTTGTGTAAATTATCTCCTTTTTATAGCTAAGCAAAAGTGAGGCCTTGTGTCATGAAGCAAGCTGAAAAAAAGCTATTTAGCCAGTAAAGTGTGCATTCCAATCCTATGTGACCTGGGATCTGGTTTGTCACACTACGGGGCAATGCTTTTATTATTTTTTCTATGGTTGCCAGAACTTCCTAAAATTTTACCACCATCCTCTTGATACATATTAACCCAAATCCCACTGCTGCAGAGCTGACTTCAACTTATAAACGACCTTCAACCCGGTTTCTGAGGCTCTTTATGAGATGTGACCATCTTTGCTTTTCCCTTAGAGCGACTGGTACATTTAAACTGCAAACATTTTGGTTTGTATTACAACAGATTACATTCTATGCCTCTAGGACTAACTAATACCTACTTAACATACTAAATGTGTTTGCACTTCTTAGGATTATTTTCTCTTTCTAAGTCAGAGTGGGAGAGGTATGGAAAACCTGGAACTTCTACAACAGGGATGCTTCAGATCCAGGCTCATATATCCGGGTGGAAAGTGGGACCTGTTCATGTTACTCATCCTTCTGTTCTAGAAGCAACTGCAGTGAACCTGATGTGATAATGGAAGGAGCAGAGAATTCCAGCACAAAGACAAATCATCAAGGATTTTTTGCCTATTAACCCACTGGGTCTTCTCAAACTAGTCTGTGTTACACAAGGCAGCCCAGGATGATGCTAAAAAAAGTGGACTGAGGCTAAGAAAAGAATTTCTTTGTTAAACTGCTGCTGACACTACACTCAGAAGTCTCTCAGTATTTTAAGTATATATTCATTTTTGACAGAGAAAAATTACAAAAATGTATAAATATGAAGAGTACAAATGAAATACACACATCCTGACTGCCTAATAATACTTCGGTAACTCACTACAATGACGCTGTAGTTATAGATTTGATTAGACAAAATGGAAATAAAAGTGGAAAAAAGAATAAAATTATTAAATGATCAAATGATCAATTTCAATAAAAACAACATTTTAAGTCACTTAGCAACCCCAAGGATCACATTTCTTAAATGTCACTGTGACACAGAGAACACTGAATGTTAAACCTAATAATACACACTAACGGCAAAGCCAACCAGCCACATAACAAAGATTGGAATGCCATTTCCCTTCTCTGCTATATGTCAGGTTACAGCATGTAACCTTAGTCGCAGCTTTCCATTTTGCAATTGTCAGTATGAATCGTCATGTTCTAACTCCCAGTTGTGTCTGATAAATTGTGGGAATTATGACAAAACTATTTGTAAAGCTTCACAGAAGTCTCCAGTGATTCTGCATCAGCTTCTCACAGGCCCAGATGACATGGCCTAAGTCTAAGGAGGAGCTCTCAGTAGGCATTTCTTGGGTAATAAGAAATAAAGAGACTGATGCCAAGTAAAGAGGAGAACAGTCATAAAGGTGGTAGATGACACTTCCCCCCTATTCTTTGTAACAGACAATGATGTACGACTTCATGAAAACTGCATATTTATGTACATTTTAAGACAGTTAAATTCAGATAGTACACATGATTCCATGAAGCTGTGTGAGGTTATTTATATTATTGTTATAAAGAACTTTTAATAAATTCTTATAAAAAATAAGCTAAGATTACTTCTTCATATTCCCATTTGTGTGTAAGGATCCGAGCATTACTGCGGGCTAAGTCCACACCAAGGTAAATGATTAACCAGTCACATTTATCTCTAAGAGAATCCCTGCTAACTTATGTGCACTTAGTGCTAACTTATATAACTTAGGTGTCCTTTAGGTATAACTCGTCTATGACCTTCAGGTGAGCACAATGATCACAAAAGACAGAAGCTTCAAGAAGAGAAAGTTCTAACTTGTCAGGGTAGTAAAGTTCTGATCTCTGCTTGCTGGGCAGCCATTTCTAGGAGGAAGGGCAGACACCTGGTCAGGTGGATTTAAATTTCTGCCTTTCTGTTCAATAACCCAAATCATATGGTAAGGACATCCTCAGCTGTCATCCACTCTTGGGCAAAAGTTTATGGACACTGACAAGGAGTGTAGTGATGGGGAGAAAGAAAAAGAGTCAGTCATCATGAGGCAAAAAGTATTCTAAGGAAAACCCCCCATACATTATTTGTAAATTAAATAAAATGCATCTCCCTGTCCCCCGGAGAATGCCTGGACCAAGCAGCTTCCTCACTGTACCCACCTGGCTGACCAGCTCGGGTATACCCAAAGCTCTGTCAATTTCCTCCAGGCCATCAAAGTTCCGCAGGGCCAAGTACAGCTGATCCAGGAGGGCCCCCTCATCACTTGGGGACTCTGATGCAGGATGTGGACACATCAATTCATCAGGAGAGTTGCCAAAGGGCTGCCTGTAAGGAGACAAACACAGTCTTGGTCCTCTGTCCAGGAAAAAAGTGGAGGAGAGGACAGGTGGGTTTATTTCTTCACTATCACCTGTAGAGCGTTCTGGTGGCTTAGTGGTAAGCAGTCGTGCTGTCAGCCTAAAGGCACGTGTTCTAATCCACCAGCAGCTCTATGGCAGAAAGATGGAGAATTGCCCAACATGTGAGTGCCCCTGAAAAGCTGCTGAAGAATCAGCGGAGTAGGTTCCAACTCAAAGGTGCACCTGATCCAAGCTATAGTATTCACAATTACGTGCTATGCATCAGAGAGTCGGACAGTGAACAGGGATAACAGAAGGAGAATTGATGCCTTTGAGCTGTGGTGCTGGAGAAGAGTGTTGAATATACCATGGACTGCTAGGAGAACAGGTTTATCTTGGAGAGGGTGAAGCCAGAATGCTCCTTGGAGTCAAGGATTCTGAAGCTTTGTCTGACATACTTTGGGCATGTTGCAAGGAAGGACTGGTCCTTGGAGAGGGACATCATGTTTGGAAGAGTGGAGGTGCGGTGCAGGAGAGGAAGGAAGACCCTCGATGAGATGGATCGATTTTGTGAGTGGAGTGGTGGGAATGAGTGTGTTTGAGATGGCGAGGTAGGCACAGGATAGAATGGTGTTTAGGGCTCTTGTACACAGGGTCCCTATGAGTTGCAAGTGACTCGAGGGCACATAACAACAACAACAACAATATTAACAACAGTGTCACTTGACTTAAAAATCTGGTATCACAGTACTAGCATATCTTAGAATCAAATGACTATCTAAAATAATAGAGGAAATTTACTCAATGCCTACTACAGGCATGACTTAATCTAGGAAGCAGACCTAGTTTATATTCTTATTTACTCCTATTTTAGAAACGGCAAAGGTGAGTTTTAAAGAGGTTACATCACTTATCAAAGTTTTCACGTTCAGAAGGCAAACATTGTGAAGATGAGACTCAAATGCTGATCTGATTCCACGGCCACCTATTCATTTTCACTGGTGAGTTTTATTCGCCTGCAGATTGCCAGGCAAGTTCTCCTTGGTCAATTTGGAAGCTCTGCTGAAATCTGTTCACCAGAAGTATCCCTACTGAGTAATTTTACTATAAGTGGCATTGCTTCATTTGACTCACATACATGTGAACGCTGGACAATGAGTAAGACTAAAGAAGAACTGATGCTTTTGGATTATGGTGTTGGCAAAGAATATTTAATACACTATGAACCTCCACAAGAATAAAAAATCTGTCCTGTAAGAAAGACAGCCAAAACGTTCCTTAAAAGGATCAAGGGAGCTCTGGTGGTCTAGTGGCAAGAAGCTGCACTGCAATTCCAGAGGTATGCGGTTCGAATCCAACAGATGCTTTGCTGCAGAAGGAGGGGCAATCTCCTGTACTAGACATCAGTTTGATGGTACACGTATACGTATACACACACACGAGAAATTTTTTTTTTAAAAAAAAGTAAGGATCAAAATGTTTCTCAAAAGTGATTGTCCAATGTACTTTGGACAGGTTATCAGAGGAACCAGCACTTGGTAGAGAATGTTATGCCTGGTAAAGCAGAGGGTCGCTCAGGCCTAAAATTTCAGTTCCCCATCGTGTGTGTTCAATAAGGCATTAATGGATATATACATAATGTTTTAGCTCTATATTAAATTTCTATTGGCCTCTTCAGAAGTGTTGATCGTAAGTACCTCTGCTCAAGCCTGGACCTATCCATCTGAAGAGCCCACCCTCTCTAACTTGCCAGCAGCAAGGTTGCAAGGCTCTTCACGGACACAGTCTCTCAGCTTTCCATTTGCCTGGAGGTCAGTTTCAAAATGAAGGAGAGGAATAGTTTCATGCCTTTCTAAGACAACTTTATCCTTGGAAAGATCAGCAATACATCCAAATGCATAAAACAGCTACTAGTGCAACTTTGTAATTACACCATTTCCTTTATAAAATAGAATGCCAAACTAACATAGGAATTTTTAGCTTCTTTACTTGATTAAGGATCTCTGTAAGCCAACTTTCCAGACACTTTCATCCCTAGTTTCCTGCTTTCGGTCTGATTCTCCAACATGCTGCTGCCAGGTTCTTCCCCAAACACACCTATTTATTCAAAGTACACCAGCCTTATTAAAAATTATTTGTGGTTTTTTAGTTTTAACAGAAAAATATCGACATTCTTGGGACAAGGTGGTAGAGGTGGATTTCAAAGATACACAATTTAGAAACACCTGGTCTTTTCAAACCTAACTTCCCAGAACTTTGCTACACACAGTATGGTCAACCTTCCTGTTTCCAGAACATGCCACAAACACCACTCTATTTTTTGGGGGGGGTGGGGGTATATGTGTACCGTCAAATCAGATCTAAATGGTACAGGACGAGATTGTTTCTCCTTCTCCAGCAGAGCATCGGGTGGATTTGAAGCGCTCACCTCTGGGATTGCAGTGCAGCTTCTTGCCACTAGACCACCAGAGCTCGCCATTCCACCATTCCCCACTCTTAATTGTACATTTTCATCAGTGTTCAACATGCCTCTGGCCATAGCCAATCCTGACCAGCCCCAGAACACTTAACTGTAGTACATGACCTACGTTCAACTGACCTTGACTCTGGTGTTCAAAGCTTCAGAGAAAGACTTCATGGGAGACAGAACAGGAATTATGCCTTACATTTTTTTGTTGTCCCACTGCTTACACATGCTCAGAGGTAAGGATGGTGAGACTTTGGCCACGTCATCAGGAAAGATCAATTACCAGAAAAGGGCATCATGGATTATAAAGTAGAGGCTCAGCAAATCCTAACTAAAACAGACTGAAATGATAGCCACACACCAACAATTGTGAGAGAGAGAAAAAAAAAAAAAGCCCAGGACTGGGCTTTTTTTTTAAACTTTTTAATTTTATTATTTTTTGTGTGTGTACTATCAAATCGGATCTGACTGGTACAGGAGGAGATTGTCCCTCCTTCCCCAGCCAGAGCATCTGGTGGATACGAACTGAGCTCCTCTGGGATTGCAGAGCACCTTCTTGCCACTAGGCCACCAGAGCTCCCTTTTTTTAAAAAAACAAACAAACACCACCACCCACCCACAACCCCCCCGCCCCGAAAAAAACCCAAACCAAAAACTACCACTATTGTTTATCATGATTTGAGTAAGTTTAAAGAGCAGATTGGTGTTTCAGTCAACAATTCACACACACTTGTTTTGTGACACTGACTTCAATCATGACGGCATTCATCCCACTTCCTCCATGTGTGTTTTCCACCCTCCTTCTTTCCTATTCCTTCCTGTCATTTGAGCTTTATCCTTCACCAAATGATGACCTTTTGATCTTGTATGGTTGATTTTTTCAATCTTTGTATGGGTGTGTTTTTGTTCACCTTATAGCCCTGTCTAGGATTGGTTGAAAGTTGAGTTATAGGGGGAAGTTCAGTTCCAGGCTTTAAGAGTGACCAATGCCAATAGTCTTGGGAGTTCTTCTGGTCCTCATGTACCGATCCATATCTACTAATCCTTATCAGTATGTGTGGTTGGTTGTTTTACTGTTATAATGATTTTGAGTTTTCTTCCACATTTTCTCTACTCTAACCTAGAATTGTTGTTGTGACCCCTTTCATTGTGATAGGTATTGGGAGGCAGCATAGCTGGGCCTCATCTAGTTCTAGTCTCAGACGTGTGGAGGTTGAAGCTTGCAGTCCATTAGTTCTCTGAACTCACTATTCTTGCATTTTCTTTTTTTCCTGAAGAATAAATTTTATTTATCCTGCTCATTGGCTCAAAATTATTTTTATATCAAAAGCTTCATGAATTATGTCTTCTCCCTTTAGCATATATATATATAAAATCTATCAGGAATCAATCACAAGCTGGGTTTCACACTATTTGTCACTGTTTCTGGCTCTGCCCTTTTGCTTCACTCACCAACCACAAGCACGTGGTATGTTCTTCTCTGAATGCAAGTGACTTCCACAGTTCTTGGCGATCAGTAGGTGAATGACAAGGGTCATTCATTTGTGTTCTCTCCTTTTACAGCACTTCTAAGCAGTGGTGTGAGGCACAGCACAGAGGTAGGAAAGACCATCTTTAATAAATTATCTTCTAAATTTTAGAGTTTCTGAAAACAAAACTGACAAAATACTAAACCATGTCTTTGATGAGTGTCAAAGTCACACAGATCCACCTCCTCCTAGAAAAGAAAGAATCCCCTGTTGTGCCAAAACCTCTGTAGGGTACTTGATTACAAGGCCCATAGGGCTCTGAACAACAGCCCTAAGAAGGCCTTCCTCCACACTCATTTGCCAATTTGTTGGACCACCCAGTCCTGCTGGCAAGGTGGGCAGCAATTGTTCTGTTTCACCCACAGGGACATGCAGCAGTTGTGGAAGGAATGATTGCATTCTCCCCAGACCACAACACAATCCTCTTGTTCGTTTTCTTACATTTTCAATGGTTGTCTTCACTCATCTCTGCTTCTGATAGACCAGAAGCCGCATCTTAGGTGTAAGCTACTAAGAGATAGATCTCAGTTGCTATTCACTGAAGTCATCTATTGAAGTAGAAGTCTTTGTGCACTATGTTATGTCAACTGACCTTAATGTCTCCCATGACTGGGATCCTGAGTCCCTAGATCCAGTGATTCATTCGTTCAAGGTATCTGATTACAGTGAAGAGGTTTGTCCCTTTATGTTCTATTATATTTGTGTTGCTGTTGTTGGAGACGTATTCTCTGTCAAGCACATACGTGTGTACATGTGTACGTGTGTGTCTTTGATAGCACAATCCCATGGGTTTGACAGTATTTCATTCTGTTATACCTAAGGGTTCCAGGAGTCAAAGTCAACTCAACAACAACTACTCATCCACTCACTGCTGTCGAGTTGGCATCAACTCATAGTTGATCCTTTTTCTCCCTTGTAAGAACTAGCAGAGCCAAAACACTTGCTTTTGGGTTAGCAGCACAATTCCTTACCCACCAGAGCTCCAAATACAACAAGTAACAACAACAAAATGTGGCTGGGGAGTTCCTACAGTTATCTCACTGACGGTGTTGCAAACATTTATCTGAAAGGCTGGAGGTTCAAGTCAACCAGGAGGGACCTCAAAAGAAAATTCTGGAAATCTACTTCTGACTTGATGGCAACTGTGTTTATTTTTAATGTCACTAAGTTAAAGTTAAACCTTAAAACCACCCTTATATTAAGAAAAAGACATCCTCTTGTGGCCTGGTGTTGTTATAAATCTCGGCATACTAGGAATGAGAAGGAAGAAGTTGGGAGAGATAAACCGAAGAATGCCCACAGGTCCAAGGATGATGTGAAAGAAACAGTAAGGAATTAGATTAGAAAATGAACAGAGGATGGAGTCATTATAAATAGGAACTCTATTTCTTGGAATTTAGAAACACTTTGTCTTTATTTTAAACATTTATTTACACAGCAGATGAATGTAGCTATAAATAAATGAATAGATGAGCATGTTATAGACTTAAGGGTTCATTTACTATCTTTTTGCAGTGTTTAAATAAATAAATTCTGGCTTACAAAAAATTTAAACAACAGTTTTGTTGTTGCTGGTGTTATGTGCCGTTGAGCCGTTTGTGACTCACAGCAACAATAGAGACAGTAAAATACAAAATTTTAAATGTGACAGTCACACAGACAAATTGTTAGATAGTAACGAAAGCAATGATAAGAGAAGGCAGAGTTGAGTAACAGAAACATGCTGTAACTGGACTTTGTACAATCTGGAAGGGAGCTCTGGTGGCCTAGAGGTAAGAAGTTGAGCTACCAATTCCAAGGCAGGCAGTTCAAACCTACTAGCTGCTCTGTGAGACAAAGAAGGGTCATCTCTTCCCATTTGATTTAAAGCCCCTAAAAATTTGCTGGACAGTAAGCTCTGAGTTGTTATGGACTTAATAGTACACCACCACAACAACAACATAAATCTCTGAGACTTCCATGAATTTGTCTTAAAAGAACTTTTACCTGTTTGGGAACTGTGAAAATTCTCCTTCAGTATAGTCTTAGAAGCAAATCTGTGATGTTTCATATAAAAACAATCATTTTAATTATTTTATTATAGCTGTATCATGCACATGTTTCCATGGGACTGGAAAAGCACAACAGAAAGAAACTGGAAGGACAGGGACATTTACTACTTCCATGTGTGACCTCAGGGCCACTTATGTACTGCTCTATTCCAAAGGAAATTCCCAAACAACTCCAGGGACGGAGTCTACACAGCCTCTCTCTCAGGAGCTAATCCAGGGAGACACAGCTATTAACAGGCACTCTTTGTCTTTTCTTCAAATGTATCTATCGACTCAATGTGGATGGATCAGAGGACCAGCAGAGGGCATCACCTGAGGGTCTGTTAGAAATCCAGAGTCGTGCAACATTGAATGAATGAAAGAAACTCTAGCTTTTCTGTATATTTTGGTCAAAATCAAAATTAAAAGAAAAAATGTTATTAAAAAAACAACACTGAGCTGCCCTCCACCCACCACCAATACCTAGTAATCCCAAATGTCCATTTTAACAAGATCTCAGAAGTATTTAGTTCACAGACACAGTGAGGTCTGAGAAAACACTCGTCACCTGCTTTTCCTCTAAGTGAACAAATAGTTGACTGAACATCCTTCTTATCTCCTTAAGACCAGTGTTAAACAAGTTATCTTTCTTGGAGATAAAGAAGTTCAAGCTCCAAACCTTTTTCATGTATTCTAATACTGACCCTGTAATCATCTTTTACTATTTTGCTTTTTAAAACTTTACTGAATCCTGTGATTCCTTTATTACTTCTTAAGAGGCACGAAGGAAAAGAGGCTGCACATGGTCATCCTGAGCCTGTGCAGTGTTAACTAAAGCAAAGTGCTACCTCCCGGAGGAGAATGCACTTCAGAACCAGTGTTTTAGAAAAACAGGTAAGAAGCCCTGGGAATACGTTTCACCCTTGTAAGATTTCAGAAACTCTGTTGACGCCTATCATTTATGCATTTGATAACTTACTTAGAATAACAATCCTGGAAGGATAAAAAGTTCAGGCTGAAGTAAAGTCCTCAATGAGCCTCTGTTCCTGATTCTCCATATAAGAGTTTCCAGGTCAAATTTCTCCAGTAGTAACTATGAAAATCTAACTTTTCTCTTAAGTTTATTTTGTGGAAAATAAAAACGGCATGCTACAAGTTCCCACACTACCTCCTGAACAGGTCACTAGTAACCTCCTTGCCTCAGGACCATCTGCCCACCCTATTCAGAGCCACCATCACTCAGGTCTCCATGTCGCCTATGTCACTTCTGCACTGTCTCTTCTACTCAACAATTAGGTCATGCATATAACAAGGTTTATTGTGTTGCTGAGTGTGCAGAAAACTAGGGGACACTCAAAGAGATAAATACAAAACCAAACAACTTGAGCTCCACCAAGTCACTGACAACAGGTAATTTTTCACCCACCCAACAGAAGAGTGCACAGTTTGCAGCCACAGGAGAGTAAAAGTTCAAGTAAATAAGTTCAAGTAACCTGGACAAAGTGTGGAATGGACCTCAATTAGCAGAGACTGATGCTCCTGCCCGGGACAACTACAAATCCCTTTCAGAGAAACAGCCTGTGAAAGAAGCTCCCAATGTTTCACTGATAAACTATGGCTTCTCTCTGAAGGATTAGCAAAATACACAGGGCAATAAGCCACCGTGAGGGCGAGTAAATCATAAACTTTAGAACCACAAGAAATTCAGATAATGGAATTAGGTTATATATACACACACAATGAATAAATTAATTTCCTGAGTCTAGGTAAGAGAGATAAGGAGATGGAGATAGAGAGCAAAAGGGTAGAATGAAAAACAAAGAAACTCCCAAATATGTCCACAAGAAGCCAAAAACTAACATAAAAAGAGAAGGATTAGCACGCATCTAATCAGAATTCCAGGAAAGCTAGAGAGAACGCAGATATGTAGAGATAACGGCTAAAAAATGTCTAAAAATGATGACCATAAACACATGTTGTTGTTGTTGTTATGTGCCGTCGAGTCGCCTGCGACTCATAGCGACCCTATGTACAACAGCCCTAAACTCTGCTCTGTCCTGTGCCAATTGCACTGTCTCTGACACTCCCATCCCGATTATTCCAGTCACTGAGTCAATCCACCTCATAGAGGGCCTTCCTCTCCTGCGCCATCCCTCCACCCTCCCAAGCATGATGTCCCTCTCCAAGGACCGGTCTCTCCTCACTACATGTCCGAAGTAAGTTAGACGGAGCCTCAGAATCCTTGCCTCCAAGGAGCCACCCGGTTTAACCCTCTCCAGGACAAATCTATTTGTTTTCCTAGCAGTCCATGGTATTCTCAGATTTCAAAAAGCAAACTAGACATCAAATAGCAGTAAGGACAGACACCTGATGCCTAGATATTCTGAAGACACAGATACAATGAGATTACACCTCAGCATCTGCTGCCTAGTGGGGTGGACTGGACTCAAAGGCGACCCTCCGCTGGGTTTCCAGTCTGTAAACTGCACAGAAGGAGACTGCTCATATCTCTGTCCTATGGAGGCACAGCTGGATCCAAACCAGCACAGAACAACTCCCTAAGGACAGTGAACATTTAAAAAACAATTAGAGGGGGTGAAAATCCCGAAGAAATAAAGACTGACAATAAGAAAAAGCAAAAACTCAAACTTGATCACATACCATCTTCTTTGTTCATGAACTTTTTCAATGGAAAAAAAAGTTGAGATTCTTCAGAGTTTTGTATTTAAGATCCTCCATGATCTGCATTATTACTTTATGGACTCATTCAGCCATACTTTCTGGTATTTTTTGCTTTGGCTTGAACTAGTCTTTTTACCCTAAACTATTTTATTGCTTTTGTAATCTTCGAACTTTCAGGAATACTGCTCCAGCCACTGGACTGGTGCCTGTTATTCAGTCTCCTAAAAACAAACCCAAGCTTTTGAAATTGAAGCCTTTTTACATCCCTGAAACTCCCCTTCACCATTTATACTTATAAAATATCTCATAACTCTTTGGAAGACATGTCACAGGTCTGGCAGGGAGAGAGATATTACTCTATCCCTACTCCTCACCCTTTTATTCAGTGCTGTCCAAATTAATGAACAGTGGTCAGGCACCAGCTGTTCCAAAGAAAAGATTAACTTGTAGCACTAAGACTTGTGTCTTAGGCTATGTTCCAGGAGTAAAATCAGTGAAGTGTGTAAATGCAGACATATGCAGAGAGATTTATTTCAGTGAAATGGTCAGAGGCTTTTCTGACTCACATGATTACTAGGACTGATGAATCCACAATCAGTAGGTCAAGCAACAGGCTGCTGGCTCACATCCCAAAACACGTGCAGGAACGAGTGAATGCGCTTTGCTAGAACATCCATGCACACTGCATGCAGGCCGCATCTCCAGAGAAATGCCTCTTACATCAGATCTCAGAATGGACAATTACAGGATACTGAGAATCATGGCCTACCCAAGTTGACACATAAAAGTTAACCTACACAGGTTTTTATTAAAGAACTCATCAGCCACTTTTGGGTGTGTGAACTCACCTGTTCTGGCTGGCAAAAGAACCCTGGTCAATAGGCAGGATGCTGTCAGGCCACGGGGCAGTCTGATTTGGAGGAGCTTGCTGTTGGCTATACTGAGGTCCGCCCATATTCATCTCTAATTCAGATGGCCCTAAGTAGAGAAAAGGGGAAAAATACCCAACTCAGGAATCTTATAATTTGTAATCAAGAAGTATCTGTTTCTGTTCTGTAACCTAGAATAAAATGTCTGGTTTAAAAATAAAAAAAAAAGAAAAACAATAGAAGCAATCACCTAGATGGAAAGAATAAAAGAGAGTAACTGTCCTGAAATAGAAATAAAGACTGGTCACAAATTTAGAAATGATCTAATAGATCTAAGCTTTTTGCTCTTGTTGTTCTGTGCCGTCTACTCAGAACTGACTCATGGCTGACTTTTCTTAGAGGCTGCAAGTGGAGTAAGAGAAGATTGTCTATATTTCTCCTGAGGAGCAACTGGCAGATCAATTCACCTACTTCTGGGTTGGCAGGGTAACTTTTTTATCCACAAGGTCACCAGAGCGCCTTTTACCCCCCTTTTCTCTTTGGGCCCCTAATATTCTTTGAAAATTTTATAGCTTATTTGAGTTACATTTTATTGACATTTAACATATTAGAAATTGAAATCGGGAAATTAAAGAAAGACATTTACTTATTTAGAAGTAATAGGAATAATAATATGTTACCATAAACAAGATTTATAAACAAATAAAGAAACTCTTTAGTGAGAAGAATGCAAAGCGAAAGGCCAAGCACCTTTCTGGTGGTGTAAATCCACCAGTGGCTCGTGCGGGAGAAAGATGTGCAGTCTCCGCTTGTGCAACCCTCAATCTCAGAAATCTACTGAAGGAAAACTGAAAGTAGATTCTGACATAACAGCACTGACTGAGTATGTGAGTGGATGTTATATAGTGTCTAAGTATAATAAAAGCATAGCAGCATTCATCTCAATTATGCTGATGCACTAGATAAGAGAGTTAATATGTCAACAATTAGGAAATGATCTCAAGTATGTATTTCATAGTTCATAAATTACTGAGATATAACCCACATAACACACAAATCACCCATTTAAAGTTCATAATACAATGGTTTTTAAAGCATTGAGAGTTGTAAAATCACCACAATTAATTTTAGAACATTTTCACCCCTCCCTAAGATACTCCATACTTATTTGGAATCACCATTTCCCCAGTCAGTCTACTTGACAGCACCTAACAACAGGCAACTGCTAATATGTTTTTTTCTCTCTCTCAAGTTTTCAATTTTTAATGTCATATAAATAGAATCATAGATCAGACCATTAATTTTACTAATACATGAACTGCATCCAAACAGAATTCTAGGGATCATCACATTTTTGTGAGATGTTCATTAGCATAGGATGTTGGCCCAGGAATCTACATTTTTTAACTCCTCCAGTAATTCTGGTGATCATCCAGATTTAGAACAAGCATTCCCTGGGTCATGGAAATCTGTATTTTTAAAACATCTTAAGGTTTTATAGTATGACACTTTATTTCCCTATCTCCTATACCTGTAATACTGTAATTTAATGAGGGGGTGGGGAAGCACCTTGAAGGTATTGAGTTATTTATGTACCTGGAAAGCCTTTGTGGATACAGGATTCTATATCAAGTTCCAAGAGTCATAGTCTAACAGGGAGAGATTACCTAAACTGCAAATTAAAAGCAAAAGTTTGGAAAGAACTTACGGTTGCTGTTATTCCCTGCTAAGAAAGTCTGAAAAAGGAAGTAATGGCGAAGCCCTGAACCTCGCTTACCTATGTTCATGACCTGAGATGGAAGCATCTGTCTTTGGCCAGGCTGGCTGTTGGGTCTCATGGGGATGCTGGCTGTTGGGTTCCGAATCATCCCTCCTTGGATTGGCCGATTCATGGCACTGGTGGTAGCAGCACATGTAGCTCTCACAGCAGAACTCTGTGGTGCCCATTCTCCAGATGGCATGGTGGGCCGGGCAGGATTACTAGCCATCATTCCTGCATGCAAGCCAGAGAAAACTGAGCAGGGCAGCAAACAAGTTCAGCATGAATAAGCACCAGACGCTCATATTCTTTACAAGACTTTACACACAGTGTAATTGCTCACTCTCAACTGGGCAAACATGGAATGTCAGCTAACGACTAGTAAGAAATTACTACAAATTTTTCATGACATGGACTTGCCACTCTATAGTTAGAGAATTTGTTAGAATTGGTCCCCTATGTAGTTAGAAACAGGTGCTGTGGCATGTGGATAACCCCAACTTCCTTCCTCAGGAAGTGAATCACATTAGCTGATATACACGTCAACGCTTTACTTTCCAAAAGGGAGGTGAGGTCATGAGGAACAAGGTAAAACCTGATAATCAATACTCTTAATTTTAAACCAAAATCACAGAGAACACACTGTAAACTGTGCTAGATGATTAAACCTTAGACTTCTCTACAGAATATTTGCATTTGTTAATTTCAAAATTGCCCAAGTTAGGCTGTTGGGGCATGGGGGAAGTCACTGGGTCTCTTGAATATTCACAGTAGTTCTTTATATCCTAGGCAAGGGAAATCCTATTTTTCTTCTTCAATAAACCCAGACCACCCCATCTATAATTATACTGATTCAGAATGGGTTGGGACAAATTTAGAAAAATCCGTCTATAATTAAGTTATTAGTGATCAAATGACCACACAGCATAATAAGAACATAAGGGTGCCAAATAGGATCAAGGGTTTACTCTATCTTGTCTGGCCCCAGGATGCTGGCAGTGGCCAAACATTTGCTAAGACTTGATATTCTAAAGCGGGAAAACCCCAAATAAAGGCACTTTATTTTGAAGTGTTTAATGATGGATATATGAAGGCTTTGCCTTCAAATATGTAGCTTACTTTCATTTACTTTAATTATAATAAACATACACCTAACAAATGGAGAAAAGATGTACTATGAGGAGTTTCTAAACTTATGAAAGAAGAATGTGTTTGATTAGAATGATTAAGCTGTAGGGCAATTAATTAAAAAAGTTAATACCATGTTACATGCTTTAAAAACCACTCTAAAATTAAGTTTGAACTATACAAAGATACTATGGAAGAACAAAACCAAACCCACCACCATCGGGTCCATGTGGACTCACAGTGGCCCTCCGCTGGGTTTTCTAGGTTGGAAGTCTTTATGTAGAGACTGCCTATCTTTCTCCCGTGGAGTGCCTAGTGAATCTGAACTGCTAACTTTAGGATTATCAGCCTGACATGCTATATACTATGCAACCAGGGCTCTTTATGGGAGCAAAGATTTTTTTTTTTAAATCCATTACCGAAGTAACAGATGACAAAGAGACTACAAAGTAAAATTATTTCTAATTCAACAACATTAATACAATTATAGGGGATATTCTCTTTCACTTTTTCTGCCCTTGGGTGGAGCCTCAGTGAGAGTCACGACATCCACAAATACAAGTTCTTTTCATAATATCTCTATCTCTCTGTCTTCTGTATCTCACCTGGGGAAAAAATATGAAGATAGCTGGAAACTGTAAGCAGTTCATCACAAGAATACTCAGTATATTGCTACATTACAGTGGCAATAGCCACTATGATGAGTTCTAGAATGATTTGAATGGATGTTTAGGGATCTGTTTGTTGGCAGAAACCTTATATTATGGCAAGCCAAGGTCCAAACCAGATCACAGGCAACTGTAAATCTTCAAAAACAGAGTCTTAGAGAATATCTAACTATTCAGCTAGGCGTGCTACTGTTTGAGTTCTTTATTCTTATTTAGTATTTTTTCCTGAATGAGAATTGCACAGGTGAACATAATGAAGGATGGCTGAATTTTAAATTTTCATTTTAAAATTCTCCAAACACAAACCACCAATTAATAGGAACTTTTGGGAATAGCAACAGATTATCACTAGGAATTAGTTATTTATTTTATACAATATCTACAATTTCCAGAAAAGTAACTGGAATAAAAACAAAATAATTTGGCCTAGGTTATAAGATTCATTATCAGAAACCCTATAAAGGATGACAGAATAAAATGGAAATATTTTCCAATCCTTCACTGAAAACTTGCAGAATTTTCTTACTTTCAGCTGTTTGTTTCTAACATTAAAAAAAAATCACTTGAAAAGTTCTGCTAGTTTGATGTGGATTAATACATTATCATTAAGTCAAACAACTCGTCAATAAAGGAGTAGTGCATTTGAGCCCTTACCTGTGCTACTGTTCCCTAAATTTCCTTGGTTTCCTATCATCCCTTGATTACCCATCATTCCTGGCTGAGGTATCACTGAGTATGGACTATTGTTTCTTATTGGTGGGAAAGGTCCAGCACCAGTTGGGCTTTGCAATGTGATGTCAAGTGGTAAATTCTGGTTTGGCAATAACCTGCCCAGTTGCCCTGGTCGTGGGTTATTAAAAGCTAAGGAGAAAACAAATGAAAATTGAAGGTTAATATAAGATAATGGAAAAGAATAGAAACAGTAGTAGTGTTTAGGGAACATGTTTTCTGTAAAAGAATGAAATGCTTATAAGGGACCAACTGCCTAAATAAGACATAAATCACAGACAAAAACTATACCCAGTGCTAAATAATTGACTTGTAATCTAATCAAAGTGCATCTTAGAGAATTCTGAAAAGTAGAGACCATATAGATAGTATTTCCTACATATTCAGATCTTTTGTTCATAGGGTTGCTATGCGTCGTACTCAACTCAACAGCGCTTAACAACAACAACAATGCTAACTTCTAATATTCAAGCATATTTGTTCTATTAACATGGGTTATTTTAGGTTACATAATATGAACACAGGTATAGTCTTTCATCGAGTTATGAAATTACAAACATCATTTTAATACCACACATCATTTCACAGCAAACTCATATGTATGGTTTTTAGTACTGCAACACTTTTAATAACTGGGTACTTTCCTACAACTAAAAAGAAGCTAAAAATATTCTAGTTGAGAGTAATATCTTCAAGTGTAAAGCATGTCACTTGAAGTGAGTATAAAGTTAAAGCTTTAGGGCCCTTTTTACTCTACAATTTCTTTAAATTCTAGATTTAGATTTTACTTTTCTAGTAAGTGTGCAAGAATTTCTAATCAACTATGCACTACAGTACACTACAGTATTACACTGATGTGCATGTGTGTGTGTGGTGTACCATCAAGTTGGCACCGACCCATAGCTGGCCCTCTGGCAAGTTTTTAGAGACAGTTAACTGTGAGGGACATCCTTCTATTATTTTCAGTTAACCTAAAACCAAACGAAACCGAGTAGCTGCTGAGTGGCTTCCAATCTGCCACTGAGGCTTCTTACAAAAAGCAAACTGCCACAGCTTTCTCCCATGGATGGCTGTGCCCAAACCACCGTGTTCCAGTCAGGAGAAGAGGGCTTTCATCACTGTTCTACCAGGGATCTCCAATTAACCCTCCTTTACTTCCCAAGAAATAAGGCAGGTGAGAGAAATAAAACTTTCATTTTGCTCCTTTTAAAATGGCCACTTGAGAAAAGGGGGGGAAAAAAAGATATCTTATGACTTGACTGATGGCTGTTAATTCTGGTTTGAGAACAAAGGAATAGGTTAAAGTAGAATTAAAGAGGGAAAACTTATTTTGTTTCAACTGACAAGGAAGAGGTAATTTATCTTTTTCTTTTGTAAATTGAGGTCTTATGACAACAAAGACCTATTTTTCTCCCTATTCAGAATATTAGACAAACTTTAAGGTAGCATTAAGCTGGTACACTAAGTGTTCATTTTGAAAACAGTTCTGAAGAGCTTAAAAAATGATAAAAACATATCGGCTTACATTTAAATGGTGTAACATCTTCAAGCTTTATATAAAATTAAAGACTTAGTTTTACATGATAAAGTTACATGTGAAACTGATGTTTATATGTGGGTTTTCTTAGGGATAGGACAAATTTTTTTTTTTAATGTGTGTAGGCAGATCATGTATAATGATTAAGCTTTTTGAGAATAATCTTATTTTTAAAAGTAGACTATCCTAGAAAGTCTATATAATGCCTTAATTTTTAAAGCATTTAGTTATTAAAACATATAAAACCCATTTTATACTCAATTTCTGAAGGTGGTAAGTGAAAAGGAAGGAAACAGAACGACTAGTGGAAGAGCATTATCGATGAAGGTCAGTCTCCTTCCCTTTTGAAATTGTCCACAAGACAGTGTCAGAAAACATAATGCGCTAACTAGACTCCATTTTGAAATGCAGCATCAAAGAGTCAGAACAGTAGAGGGTGCTATTTCATCACAGAAACCTTGAAGTGACTAAGCTGTTTGCATCGGATCCTAATAATCCCTGTTTCTGATAGCAATTTCATGCAAATTTCTTGGCATAGCCATAAATATTTCATACTCACTGCTCTGTGAAATCCTCAGTGCTGTTTTCTGGGTTCCAACAGGTGTAACCGGGCTGTTCTCAGCTGTGAGTTGCATGAGGTCATTGATGATGGCTTGCTTGTCAACTGATCCAGTGGAGGCGCCTGGCCTGGTCTCCGGGAAAAGCTGTGGTAACTGACTATTCTGCAAATCATCCAAAATCTCCTCCAAGTTGTCCAGCTCACTGCCAGGCTGCAGTTAACAAGACAGAAGAGTTTATCCAGTCCCACTCCCAGTAGACTATGTGGAACCGCAAGCACAGCACAGGCACAGAGAAGATACAGACATCGGGCATATCTCACGCCTGCCACTTAACTGATCATCTTTCTAAACAGTAAATTGACAAATGACAAGTCACTTAATCTCTTGGTTCTCAATCCTCTCATGTAAAAAGAGAAAAATGGCTTAATTAGAATGAAAGCTCTGTTCTAGTATTGTGATTTTTCTGGCATTAATAAACTCCTCTTTATTCCATGTTAATCATTCAATGAATTATGAGTTTATACATTCTGAATTAACTATGAGCAAGTATGAGTTATAACCCAAGTCTATGGTTTGTGTTAAGATGGCACAAAAAACAACAATAAGGACTATAAAATATCCCAGTTTGCACCAGGAACAGTATTTTAGCAGATAAATATTTCTTTTTTAGGAATCTGACACGCCTCTTGTTTAAAAAAGAGCTGGGGGTGGGTGGTGGGGAATTAAACCGAAGCAACCATGACCTAGGTAAGAACTGCTTTTTCATTTTGTTGTTTGGACCCTCCCCCGCCACCTCCTTTTTCTTACACTTTCAGTTTCAAAGTGGTAATGGCTGAAGTGAGTGAAATCAGCTTAGGTGATGAAATGCAGGGAATTAGGGAAAAAAGTGGTTGTTTCCAAACATAGCATCTATTAACCTGATTTCACAGAAACCATAGTGCTTCTTTCTGCTTCACCTTTTAACTAATTCCATTTTCAACTGCCATTTAAAAATTAGAAAATGGCCACCACAATGTCATAGTTAGTCTTCTTCCTTTAGGAAGCAGAAATGATCTTACAGATGCTTTTTCCCACCTACGTGCCAAGTCATTAAAATTAGACAATATCAGCCACACCACAAAAGTACTCCACTAAAAGCTGGGATTACTTTCTAGAGAAGTGGTGAGAATGTGCAGGCAGGAACACCTAAGTTGGGCAGCTTCTCCAAAGTCAATGGCATGAACTTGAATCCTTGCCTATGACTTGTATTCTAATTTAAAGAAAATAACTCTCTCATTTACTCTACCAATTTTAAATGAAATTTAAAATAATACACTTCTGATATTGAGATTACATTTAGAGCACAATGGGCTACCTTTTTATCTTACACGCAATCCTATCCCTCAAGTAAAAGTTAAACCCATTTGAATTTCTACAATTTATGGCAAATAAAAATTGCCTGCAATGTCCTTTTACAGAATATACTTCTCAAGTTAGGAAAGACAAACTAAAGTAATATTTCATTTGATTATTTGTAGAGAGAAAGCTTAGCAGTGACTTGGGAGATCTGTTTTTCAAGAGGCATCATAATGAATTGTCAGGATGTGGACAAGACCCTTACCGATCTGGTTCGTTACCATGAGCTTGTCTAAACAAGAGATGCCCAGAAAACCATCTCAAAAGCACTGTTGTGGAGTTGATTCCCAGCGAGACACTTTATCATAAGGTTTCTGAGCCTACATATCTTAACAAGAGCAAACTGCCTCATTTTTCTTCTGCACAACAGCTGGCAGTTTTGAATACCCACCCTTCTACTTAGCAGCCCAAAAAGTAACATATCATACCATACCATCAAGTCAGAGAGAAAGGTTGCAGGTGCAGTTTGTGGTGAGGGTCATAGTGCACCCAAAAAGCTCATGGCTACATGTTCACACTATTAAGAGCTGCCAGGGAATCAAACACCATCAAATTCACATCATTCAGCTCATGATCACCTACTCAGGATCTATACTGAACTGAATGGTGTGTAAAACAGCTTACGCTATTTCAACAACCATTTAATCACCAATTCTTCATTTTTTAATTTATTTTAGTCATTTAAATGCATATAGCTGACTCTGTAAGCTAAATGTACACTTTTGTCATGTTCTGCTAAATAGACTGATACTTTCAGTATAAACATTGACTGCCCACCAAGAATAGTGCCCAAAAGGCAATGTGCACTCACTCAGTCAACAAGACAAATTCCTTCACCCACATTAACCTGTAATTAAAAACACTTCCCCCAAGCTGGTTTCTCATAGCATTCCTACAATTTCCCAGAAAAAATGTTTCATTAAAATGTATACTAAATATCCTTATTGTTTCATCATGAAAATAGCTTCAGAGATCAGAAAGCTGCTAATAAGCTGAAGTTTATCTCTGTTCTGTGAAACAGTCTCCTTATCACAATGCTGCCTTGTATAATGTTTTCAAAGTGGACTGGGAAACTCAGTTTGTGTGTGTGACTGAGAGAGATGGGCTGCAATTAAGTTGTCGCTTGAAAAAGGTTTATAATAATTTCCTCTTACTTTTTAACATATATGTACGTTTAAAAGTTAAGTTTTTACAATATAAGATGGGCAGTAGTTTCAAGTGTAGATTTCACCTTTCCTTTTTACTTTCTTTTTTTGAGGCATATAAAATTATACCATAAGCCACTCTGGACAGACATAACCTAATAGCAAGAAGCTGAGCAGAAATCCCAAAGGCATGCAGTGTGAATCCACCAGCTGCTCTGCAGAAGAAGGATGGCAATCTCTTCCTGTGAGATTAACTGTCTCTGAAACCTCGCTGGAGGGTCAGCCATGGGTTGGTTCAGACTCTGTTTATACAACAACAACCACACAGACACCCCTATCTGAGAAAGAAGGTAATCTCCTGTGTAATTTATTACCTCTGAAACTGCTGGATGATGTACTATGAGTCATGGAGGATTAGCCATGAGTTAGTTCCAATCCCAGTACACAACCAACACACAAACACAACCCTCTCTAAATGTTAAAGGACAACTGGTTTAAAGAAATAAATCCTTTTTATCTCAGGAGACACTGAAGAAGAATGACTCCATTGTTCCCCTTCATTTATTTTTAAAAATCATGTGTGAAAAGTTCAAAACATACACACACAAAACTTTTCAAATTTTGATCTTACCCGTTTTAAGAGGAGAATTAATTCATCTGTGAATCAGACTAGTTATGGCAAGTAACAAAACATTTATTTAAGAAAGGCCATGGGAGGGCGGGCGGAGAAAGGCAAACCATGAAAAACTCGTAGCTTTTAAAAGGAATTGGTTTTGCCAGCTGGGTTACAATACTGGTTTCTCTTTGTATAATGCTGAGAGTGAGATAATCAAAGAGACATGGAAACAATAAATCCAAAGGATTCATAGGGACCATACCAATCCCAGCCTCCAAGATACAGAAACCAGAATTAGATGGTACCCAGTTACCACCACTGCCCACTGCAATGGACCACATGAGGAGGTCCTGGAAAAATGTGGGAGAAAACTCAAAACTTAAAGACCAGATTTACTGCTTTGATAGAGGCTGCGAGAATGGCCCCTAACTCTGGTCCTTAGTTATCCTTTAAGCCTAGAATGGAATGTAGTCCTGTGGCTCAACTTAAAGCCAAACAACAGACAGGCCTATAAAGTTATTGGTAACACTGGGAAGTAAACACTCCCTAGCACAGCCAACCAGCTGGGATCAAAAGGGCAGCGTCTGCCCAGAGATAAACCATAGAGGGAAGGAAGGAGCAGGAAAGGAGGAAACCGCAGGGAGAAAAAGCACTTAGAATTTTGGAGATTCCAGTACATTTTTACTTAAATCACAAAAAGTTAAGAAATTATAAAAAGAAACAGATTCTACAAACACTATATGAATTCATTAAGTTTACTGAATCCAGAATGACATTTTCCCTACTGGTGTTAGTACTCATTTGCCCAGGTTTAGTCTATGTGATTTTGGAGTGTTCATTTACCATTAATATCATTGTTATCATTATCATTGTTTACTTTAAATGCTCTTCTTTATAGCGATAAAGTTCATAATGTCTTTCCTCATCAGGTTATTTAGAAATACTATTTATGAGCATAGCATTTTATTCTGTGTTCATTTAAATTCTAGAAAGAATGGATTTGGCTGGATTAAGTTTTGATTATACTAAGTTTTAGTTCTCACCAAAAGTTCTAGTTTCTATCCACTTTGTTACGCACAATTCTTTTTTAAGACAAAAAGATTAATGCCTTCCTTTAAAATGCTATGCCAAGATAATTCACAATTTTGCTTAGGCATCTATTTGAATGCTCAAATTAGCCACACCGACTTGAATAGTTGGTTGGGGTTTTTTTTTGTTGTTTTTTTTAATAGTTATTTTAAACTATTTCAGGAAGAAAATGAGTCAGAAAGGTTATTTATAAAAGTTCTACAAAATGAAAATTAGGCTTTGTTTCTTAATTTTTTAAGTTTTATTAATCTCTCCTGTATTAAATCCAATGGTACTCTGAAAGAAATATAGAGAAATAATAATCATCAAACATTTCCCAATTATTTTTAAAAATTTTCCCCCTACTAGTTTAAACCCAATTGTTTTTTGAAAATGTGTACCTACCATATTTGTCTAAATTGTTTTAAAAATGGCAATATAAATTTGCTACACTTGAAGGGGAAATTTCAAATACCAGTGTAAAATGAAATTTGTCTTTCTGATAGATTAAAAAGTAAGAAAAATTTTTTACTATCCTCAAACCCTCATCATAAGAGAGAGCAAAGAGATGTCAACCATGTTCCACTGTGTAAATAATGATGTCATTTCAAAGTCAGTAAACATATTGGAAATATTTTGTCACTGTTTCCTGTAGGTTATGAAAACTGGTAAGAGCAAAGGCTGTTTCAATACTCTGCTCAGCAAAGAATGCTATTTTAGGTTTAACAGTGCCATCGAAGTACTTCCTGTCCTTAGTACGTTAGTGATACCTTAAACATACACTCAGCTAACCACGCTTTTCTGAATCAAAATAAGTTGGCTAACTGTGTGGTTCAGGCTCACTCACATTTCATCTTCTATACAAACAACTTATTATATTCCCTTAAAATGAAAGAAAAGTCTTCAATGAGTGCTAATACAGGATATAATGAGTCTCCATGAGGAAATGGGGAAGGAGGTGAGGAGGTGAAAGAATCACTGCATTG